CCCAGTCTCCCGCCCTTCACACCTTGGGTGGGAAAAGAGAGTGGGGCGGGGTGGCCCGAGAGGCGGGAGGGGCGGGATCATGGAGAGAGCTCCAATGGGCGTCCAAGCTGGCCGCCGTGGACCCCATCAGCCAATGAGCAGCAGGCGGGGGGCGGGGCGGGGCGCTGTTGCAAAGCCTCCAACGTGGGCCGGCTGGAGGCTGCGGGGCAAGAAGCCCAGGGGGTGTGCGAGGGCTAGCGGCCGGGGGCGGGGCCTCGGGGATCGGCCGGGGCTGCGACCCGGGGAGGCGAGCTGCTAGCGGTTGATTGTTCGGTTGCGAAGTGTGCGGGGTTCTCTCAGAGCGGAGGAGCCGTGCGGAGCCCGGAACTGCGTGCGCGCGCTCTGCCTTGGGCGCTGGGACAGCGAGGCGCACCGGGTCTTTGGAGCAGTGCGGGGTTGGCCGCGCCGTCCAGCCCGGAGTCTGCAGCTGGACGCTCGTAGCGGCGAGGAAGATGCCCACGGGCGCAGAGCTCCGGCTGCGAGCCTGAGCGCCTTCCTCGCAGCGGCGGCGGCACTTGGCGTGCACGGGGACTCCGAAGCCCGGCCAGGAGCGCGGCGGGAGAACGAGGAGCGCCGGCCAAGCACCCTTTGCCCGGATCCGTGGGGTTCGCAGCGGGCACGGGCGGGTCGGCCCGGATGGGCGCGGGGTTCGCGGCCCCCTCCGGGCGCTGCGGAGCGGCTCGGGCACCGGGGGCCCGCTGAACGCCGGAGTCGCCGCCGCAGAGAGAACTTGTGCCGGCGGGCATGTCCCGGCGCGGAGCCTAGTGCTGAGCGGAGCCCCCGCTGGCCCGCCCGCGCCTGCGGTCGCCCCGGACCTCGCAGCCCCAGCGCCGGGAGTTCGCTGCGCGCTCCAGACAAGATGGCGCGGCCGGTCCGGCGAGCGCTCGGGGCCCCGCGCCGCTCGCCTTGTCTTCTCCTCCACTGGCTGCTGCTGCTGCTGCTGCTGCTGCTGGTGCTACTTCGGCTGGAGCCCGCATCGGCCGCGGCCGGCCCGCGGGCGCCCTGCGCTGCCGCCTGCACTTGCGCTGGGGACTCGCTGGACTGCGGCGGGCGCGGGCTGGCGGCGCTGCCCGGAGACCTGCCCGCCTGGACGCGGAGCCTGTGAGTGCCACCCTTTCCGTCCTCCCCGCGCCCCGGGACGCTGTCACTTGGGGACGGGGCGGCAGGGGTGTTTCCCCGGGAAAGGGGTGCGGATTGAGTTGCTTGTATGTGAAGCTGAATGAGCTGGAAAACAGTTCGCGTGGGATCGTAGTGGTGGTCCTTGGGGGTCCGGAGGAGAGAGGGCGTGCGTGCGAAGAAGTCGGGATGGGAAAAGCGTGCGTCTCGTGAGGGTCTGGATGTGCGCGAGCGTGGGTCTTGGGGATCTGGAGGAGGAAAGTGTACCTCGTGGGGGAAGGATGTGATCGAGCGTGGGTCATGGGGTATGAAGGTGAGTGTGGGTCTTGAGGTATTGGAGAAGAAGGTGTCGTGGGCGTCTGGAGGTGAGTGAGCGTGGCTCCTGAAGGCCACCTGGGAGTTGGTGAGTGGGTGGGATTCTGGAGGTAAGAGAATGTGAGTAGAGAGTCAGGAGGTGAGGGTGTATGTCTGTGGGTGGAGAGTGGGAAACATCTGGAGGGGAGAGAGTGAGGAAGTCTGTCTGGGGGTCCCCGGGTGTTTCCTTTTTTCTCTTCTGTAACCCAACTCTCTGTTGTCTGAGCTGCTTGGCCTTCCAGTGGGTAATGAATGAAGGTGACTTTTGCCTCCAGTCTTCCATTTACATTATTTATTAGTGAGAGTGTGTGTAGCTGCCTCCTCATCTCCCCGGGACCTTGGTGGCCTGACTTTCCTGGAGATCTGTGATCCCACCTGGTTGGCATTTTAGGGAACTGTGTTCCAGACCCTTCCTGTCTGTTCCCTAGGGGACCCATGGGGCTTGACGATACAGTGGAGTGGGGCCCATCCTCTAGCATTTCTCCTCTATAAATGGTGCAAATTAGTTTCGGAGTATTGCTACTTTGGAAGAGGGTGCCAGACTCTGGGTTGATTTAAGCAGAGTGCGTTTTACTCGCAAGAGGCTCTTTTCTGTGCTGTCCGGATTTTGGCCTATCCAGACTTGGTGGGACACTTCTTACAGGAGGTTTGGCAGGAAAACAACAACAACACCACATTAGATTTCTGTAAACATGGTAGAATGTCATAGGCTTTACAAATTTCTGACAAATCTAGTCCATGAGTCAAAATGCTGTCCAGTTATCAGTAATTAACATCTCTGCAGAACTGTTAGTACCTTCCAGAAGAGGCCTAGGTTGAATAGTTCTGCTTTTCAATTGAATAATTGGACATCTTTCCTAGAATATAGAAGAGGCACAGTAGTAACCTCAGGCGGGACATTCACTGTTCAAAAAAGAGAAAGAAAACTGGTGACACCGGTTTTAACCAACACCTGTGGCTTGATCTAAGAACATGTGGTCTGGGAATCTGGTTGCTGTGAAGGGAAGGAAGGGAAGTTAATTCCTTTCTGACGTGAAGATCCTGTACCTTTGAGAGCGGGGCACAGATCTTTAACTTGGACCACGCTGCACATGGATCACTAGTGATCAGTCCTACAGAGTTCTGAACTGGACCGTTGACTTATGTGTAGGATTTCTCTTCAGTATTCTGCTGTTTCTTTGGAATCCCCTTAGGGAAAACCAGTGATCAAGGTGTGGGTTTTAACACAGGTGGTGGCTGTGTAAGGTAGTGGGAAATAGAGCCCAGCGTTGTCATTAGGTAGTATTGTATTTAGTTGTGGTAGTCTTGGGTATTGTGGGTTTTCCTTTACATACTCTTAGTTTTTTAAAAAGTTAAATCATGTGGGTGGGATCAGACTAACAACTTAGGTGTTCACCTGTTGGAAGACTTGACTCCCAATGCCAGGTGTCAGTGGCATCGTGGGGAAGGCACTTAGTTCAGAAGTGGTGGCTTCCTGGAGAGGACAGGGTGTCCTCTGTTTTCACTTTCCTATGGCCACAAGATCCACTTTGCTTGCCCTTTAATTTCTGGAGCAAAACTACTGGTTGTTTGGAGGGCTTTCTGTCTGCCTAAGGAGTGACATTTCACAAGTCATAAATACCTTTAAAATTGCAGTCTTCTCTCTTTTCCTTACACAGTTGATGATTAGTCAATACCAAACTGGCTGTTTTGAGCTTCAGTTAGACTTGATTATACTGATGATGGTGTTAACTGTTTCGATTTTAAGATGTGAGTAGTATGGCTTCTGGTTAGTATGTGGCAATGTGGTATTCGGTACAGAATGTATATCCTTTGAAAAACGTTTGTGAAGTTTTTTTCTTTTCTGATTAAAGAAAAAGCAAGCAAATGTGTTTTTATTTTTCCCTAGCCTTCAGATTTCTCCATTTAAGTCATTAGTCTTATTCTAAATTTTGCATCAGGATATTTATATCTTTTATATTCCTGGCTATGATTCAGTAAGACTTTAGGGGAGAAAGTCTCTGTCTATAATATAATAAAATATCTTACAGTTTCACCACGTTTACACCCTCTGAGTCCATTGTATCTAGAAAATGCTTTGAGCTAGTTTATAACCCCATGAACGAGATTTACTGCAGCTAGTTCAAACAATTTCAGGCTGTGGGTTTGAGATAGAAGGGGACCTGTGGCTTTATGGAATTTTTAAAAAATTTTTTTATTTATTTTTGCTTTTGTAAACAGTGCATCTAATTTTGGAGTTGCTCCTAAGCCCCGCATAAGGAAAATAAAACTCTTTAATAGTGGATGTAAATGCAGTTTGAATAGCAGAACTGGAATGGCGCCGGGAGAAAGGAAAATATGTTCATTCCCAGGGCCTGAGGATAACTTATTCAACACAGTAACTTATAGTTGTAGTAGTTGAGCCATTGCTAGAGTTTGCCGTCCCATTACGTAGGTGCGATTGGCCTTGTCCAACCAGCACGTTCATAAATATCTCCCAGCACTGCCACTCCCTATTCCAACTTCCCAGAACCTTAGAAGAAGTTGAACTTCTTAGAACTCAGATGTTTGCTTTCTTTGAAACCGTTTTGGAGAGCATGGCTTCCGAAGCTCTTTAAGACGCGCTAAACACAATTTACCGTAGACTCTTGTCTGTGGCGTGAAGTTGAGCACGGTATTGCTTGCTTACAGGGTCTGGCAGCTAGGTCGATGATGACCTAATGGGATTGTGATAGGAAGGCAGGCAGGCCCTGGAGGAGGAACGAATGATTCTCCTTCTCGGTGCGGAAGGAAGATGACATGGCATTCAGAAGCAAGGACATCCCTTAAAGGTCACCAAGTGTGGTTTTTCTGAGTCACATTAAGACAACTGTATTGATTTGGGTCTCTTTGTATTTTGTCTCCCTTCGTGTTTGCAGTACCGAACCTGGTGACTTAATCGAACCTCTCTGTTGGTTTGGGCACCAAAGTGGTGCTTATGATTACATTAGAAAATAAACACAGGTCCCCTTGGTGGTTACCATTGTAGTTGGGAAGCATAGAGGGCCTTTGTCTTTCAAATTTTACAGCTGTGCTGGAAGGCCCAGGTGTTGGGGTGTTGTGAATTAAGGGTTTGGAAAATACTTTCCATCCTGTTTATGCAAATTAGATTTAAAGTGCAGATGACCAAATTGTTCCAGAACCTAAGCTGAGATTCTTGTGTGTGTGTGTGTGTGTGTGTGGTGTGTGTGTGTGTGTTTTTAAGAAGTAGAATCTTGTCTGGATTACCCTGAGGTCTTCCCTTCTGCCCATTTTCCTCTTTGAGTCTCTGTATCACTTAAGAAGAACTCAGCAGACCGTGAACATCTTCTGATTGGCGGGGGTGGGCAAAGCGTTTTTCTGAATAGGGACCCTTTCGAACACAGGGTAATGGGCAGAGAGAAAATCTGAAAAGTGCAAGTGCTTTTAAAGTTTTGGGCAGCTTTAGTCTGAGCTCAGAGTCCTTTTCTTTGCAACAAGTGTCACAAGCCTGGCCTCAATTCCCCTGCATGATGGAGCACTTATCTGTTAAGAGTTTTCTGACACTTTTTTTGAGTTAAGTGGAAGTCTGGGAAATGAAATTGGTTGCCTTTTTAAGGGACAGGATTTAAGTCCCTCTGATATGAAATTATGGCCATAAAATCTAATTTTTGAGGACTGTGAAATTAGGAAGTGCCGGGAGACCCCCAGGGCCCAATACAAATGAACTGTGTTGGCCCACTGGTGCCTCTTGCCTCTAGGGTACGTCAGGGCTCTTCTTGCCCCTCCTTTCCAAGGGACTGTGTTAAAAGGAAGCGTGCTTTTCTTTTCCGTAGTTACACTGGGTCACCAGATTTCCCAACCTTTGGACTTTTGAATGTATTGTCGGCAGTAATTCTTCATCTCCAGAAAGATGACGATTCTGAGCAGAGTAATGAGAGCTGGTTCCCAGTGGATGTCCGGATGCGTGGGCCCTCCAGCCCTGCTCCAGGGGCCGCAAGTTTCTCTCCCTGCCGTGTTAATGCCTTGGCCTGGGTTCCCCACGCAGCCTTCCCTGAGCACGTTGGGATGGCCTCTGGCTGACCTTTTTCTCTCCCTCAAACACCACGCTCACAATGAAAGGGCCTCTCCCCTATTCTGCAGAGGTGTCTCCCTGGTGCAGAGGCTTTTCAGCATCTTCTCTTTCAGAGTGGACAGGAATGCGAGAGAGCTACTAGGGTTTTGTGTGACTTAACAATGCCCCCGGCCCAGTTCTGTGCACCTGCTGTAGCCCGGAAGGTCTGTTATCCGGGAAAGGAGGTTGTTTAAAATAGCCATTGGTTATTTTAAAAATGACACCAGAGAGGGAAATCTGGGAAAGGGATTCGTAGAATTGAAAGTCGCTCAATAAGCAGTCAAGGATGTTCGTGGTACCAAGGTCGTTGGTTTAAAACTCAAAGGGTTTCCTCTGATTTACCCCGTAAGTTGAAAGACTTCAAGTTTCATGAGCAAGCCTGATTTTCAACGACTTGTGAATGAGTCTGGTGATATTAACTCATTGGGGACCGTCCCCCTCCTCAGCAGCTGCAACTTGAAAGCCTGGGGGTCTTTTAGAGCAGGGCTCTGGGCTGTGTTGATATTCAGAGCTGTTTACAGTGGATGCAGTTTCAAAGGCT